CGAACACGAACCAGATACAACTAGAATGCAAGTGTATTATACAGAGCGGAAGACACATGGAGACCTCCAATCAGCAGCTACACAGTGTGCTGGTAGTTGGCCTTCAGATAGACACAACAAGGGAGAAGTACTGGCTTCTGCCCATTGATAGAATGATGAGTTAAACTTTAACAATAGGTTGCTTCAAAGTGTTATGAAATCTCACAAATGTCTGCTTTGTTTTAACACTAGGCAAACCCAAGCGAAATTGGCCCCTGTGTTGAAAAGAAGATAGGTTGGCTGCCACATTTGCAACTGTATTGATTTGCAATTTAGGTAATGAACTTTTAAAACAGCAGGGGCTTGGGGTGGGCTTTGTTTATTTGTGCGGGGGAGTGAGAGCTGCAAGGAGAGTAGCATCTGGACCAGCACACTTGGACAATTGCACAGCCCTGATGCAGTCAGGAAGTGAGCGCTGAGACATGGACAATTCAGCGTCCTCTTTTGCATGGTACATAATTTGGATACAATTGGAGTACACAATTTGGAATGATTTGGAAAACATCTGGATTTCTGAATTTGGACATAATTTGGACTGAGTGATTTCTGCTTTCTGGACACTGAAGCTGAAAGTTTGATTGAAAGAACGTCACAGAAGAATTCATGGCTCGACACAATGCAGCTGAAGTGAAATCAAAACACGGTGAAGTGGGTAGAGACTGTTTTCAAAGCAATATCTGGAACCACATCGACTGATGATGTAGTTTGGTCATTTTATGGATGATTGTTGACAAGTTTTATGAAGATTGAACATGTTTTATGAGTTTTCTGATGTTTTTGAAAGTACCGTGTTTGGATTTTTTGATTAGTATTGAGTTATGATGTTATGTTGCTTGGTTATGATCTGATGGTCACCCGTAAATGTTATGACCAGAGGGGGAATGTGAGATTCATAACACTTTTATAGCAACTTTTGTTAAAGTTAAAATCATCATCTATCAATGTGCAGAAAGCCAGTACTTTTCCCTTGTTTGTCTAGAGAGGGACACGAGCAGAGAGAGAGACGTGAGCAGAGAGAGACGTGAGCAGAGAGAGAGAGACGTGAGCAGAGAGAGACGTGAGCAGAGAGAGAGAGACGCGAGCAGAGAGAGACGTGAGACGTGCAGAGAGAGACGTGAGCAGAGAGAGAGAGGCGTGAGCAGAGAGAGAGAGGTGAGCAGAGAGAGACGTGAGCAGAGAGAGAGAGACGCGAGCAGAGAGAGAGAGCAGAGAGAGACGTGAGCAGAGAGAGAGAGACGCGAGCAGAGAGAGAGAGCAGAGAGAGACGTGAGCAGAGAGAGAGACGTGAGCAGAAAGAGAGAGACGTGAGCAGAGAGAGAGAGGCGTGAGCAGAGAGAGAGAGAGGTGAGCAGAGAGAGAGAGAGAGAGACGCGAGCAGAGAGAGAGAGAGGTGAGCAGAGAGAGAGAGACGCGAGCAGAGAGAGAGAGACGCGAGCAGAGAGAGAGAGACGCGAGCAGAGAGAGAGAGATGCGAGCAGAGAGAGAGAGATGCGAGCAGAGAGAGAGAGAGATGCGAGCAGAGAGAGAGAGAGATGCGAGCAGAGAGAGAGAGATGCGAGCAGAGAGAGAGAGATGCGAGCAGAGAGAGAGAGATGCGAGCAGAGAGAGAGAGACGTGAGCAGAGAGAGAGGGACACGAGCAGAGAGAGAGACGTGAGCAGAGAGAGAGGGACACGAGCAGAGAGAGAGACGCGAGCAGAGAGAGAGAGACGTGAGCAGAGAGAGAGGGACACGAGCAGAGAGAGAGACGTGAGCAGAGAGAGAGACGTGAGCAGAGAGAGAGACGTGAGCAGAGAGAGAGGGACACGAGCAGAGAGAGAGACGTGAGCAGAGAGAGAGACGTGAGCAGAGAGAGAGACGCGAGCAGAGAGAGAGACGCGAGCAGAGAGAGAGAGACGTGAGTCCGCGTGTCTATGGTCCTGTCTGTGGTTCTGTTCGCGTGTCTATGGTCCGCGCTCGGAGCCCAGACGGCAGTGCGTTCACTGAGCTGCATGTCAGAGCGGGGGTCACAGCAGCTGCTCTCGGGGCCAGAGCGGAGGATGTAACGTAACGTTCGGTTTATCAAAACATATCACAATATTTAACGTATAACACTAGTGAATTTCACCTAGATTTTTTCAGACATTAAAGACAAGATGTTATATAATAATTGTTTAATGAAAAAACAATTTTGCCACAAGCAACCAAAAGATGTGCCTCAGACAAGAATCGAACCTGGGTTCTCCAGGTCCCTGTATTTAATGCTATCCATTCGGCCAACAAAGCACCTCTGGGCTAGACAGGTTTGCACGCAGTCTTATACCTGAGCGTCTAAGTCGCTGGCAGAGCTAAAGCGGACTTAGCCTGCCACCTTGTGGCGATAAGATGTACTATTTTTCACGCAGCTGCGTGATTCCCGAGAAGCGTGAATGAAGACGACAAAACGGAATGGGACCTACTGTAAGTGACTGTATTTTTGTTGCACAGCAGCTGTAGAACTGCAAAAAGCATGATGCAGTAAATATGTGAAAGACATGCAGTACACAGACATACATACATTACATATACATACTTACAGTACAGACACACACATAGATATATTTCAGTTACGTCTCTAAATACAGTCTTTGTGTAACTTTACTGTAGTTGTTACTGTAAATGGCCGTACAGGTCGTGTATAATGAGCTCATATCGTGCTCAAGTGTCTCCGAGATCTGATTTTTTTACTTTGAAAACACAGAGAGTAAAGTGTCACAATGAAAACATGACTAAGTCATGTGACTGTTGTTCATACTCAATGTTGTCAGGACTTATTATTTTGAGACACAGACAGTTTCATTGACCTGAAGACTTGCTTTTGAGGAATTAACATTTCATTTTGAGAAAGTGATGCACTTTTGCAGATTATCCACCAGGTTCTGCAGTTTGCACTAATTGCTCTGAGAAATGCACAAACTGTTGTGCAAAATGGATAGATAGATAGATAGATAGATAGATAGATAGATGGATAGATGGATAGATAGATAGATAGATAGATAGATAGATAGATAGATAGATAGATGGATAGATGATAGATAGATAGATAGATAGATAGATAGATAGATAGATAGATAGATAGATAGATAGATAGATAGATAGATGGATAGATAGATAGATAGATAGATAGATCGATAGATAGATAGATAGATGATAGATAGATAGATGGATAGATGATAGATATAGATAGTAGCGCTTACACCAACATGAACAGTAAAGTAAAGAACAGTTGGAGCTCATCAAAAATAATTTCTAACTTTTGAATATGTCTCTCTGGAGTCTGGTTTAACAGTGAAGGCAGTGGTGTCAGAGGTCGGCAGCATTTCTCCCACAGATCCTCCAAACATGGATCATTTTTCTGCAGAAGGATGAGTGTCGCGGCTCGGTGCGGTCGTGCCGGGTTTGGTCCTGACTGAAGCCTCCACACTACAGCCCAGTGTCACCACAAATACTGCCGTCATTCTAAAACTGGTATTAGCTGCTTCCTGCTGCGCCGCGTGTGCCGGGGCGGATCGCACCTGGTCCACGCAGCTGTGAGGGTCTTGCAGGGGGAGGGGGGGAGGCTGGGCTGGGAGGGGGGGGCGCCAAAAGAGGCCCTGTGTGCACTGGCAGCACTGACAAGAGCAGGTCAGACTCCAGCACAAAGATGACGACTCACCAGTTCATATTTGAAAGATTTCACTGGTTCTGGTTTGGACACGGTTTGAAATCCATGGATCAGTGGAACTAATGTCGTCAGTCCTAGTGGTCCCAGTGGAGTCCTGAGACTGGTGCAGAGTCCTGGGACTGGTGCAGAGTCCTGGGGCTGGTGCAGAGTCCTGGGGCAGGTGCAGAGTCCTGGGGCTGGTGCAGAGTCCTGGGGCAGGTGCAGAGTCCTGGGGCAGGTGCAGAGTCCTGGGGCAGGTGCAGAGTCCTGGGGCAGGTGCAGAGTCCTGGGGCAGGTGCAGAGTCCTGGGGCAGGTGCAGAGTCGTGGGGCAGGTGCAGAGTCGTGGGGCAGGTGCCGTGGGTCAGAGGGTCAGGGCACATGAGATTATGAAAACTCAAACATGAATCTAACAACAACAAATAATTGATACAAATGTTGTCCATGAACACACTGATGGGACTCAAAACCCTGGACTCTGGACCTGAGGACTAGTCCCAGTCCATCAGCTTGGGACAGACAATCTGACAGTCTGCAGTCTGGATGGACCTGTCCCAGTCTGGATGGACCTGTCCCAGTCTGGATGGACCTGTCCCAGTCTGGATAGACCTGTCCCAGTCTGGATGGACCTGTCCCAGCCTGGATGGACCTGTCCCAGTCTGGATGGACCTGTCCCAGTCTGGATGGACCTGTCCCATTCTGGATGGACCCGTCCCAGTCTGGATGGACCTGTCCCAGCCTGGATGGACCTGTCCCAGTCTGGATGGACCTGTCCCATTCTGGATGGACCTGTCACAGTCTGGATGGACCCGTCCCAGTCTGGATGGACCTGTCCCAGTCTGGATGGACCTGTCCCAGTCTGGATGGACCTGTCCCAGTCTGGATGGACCTGTCCCAGTCTGGATGGACCTGTCCCATTCTGGATGGACCTGTCACAGTCTGGATGGACCCGTCCCAGTCTGGATGGACCCGTCCCAGTCTGGATGGACCCGCCCCAGTCTGGATGGACCTGTCACAGTCTGGATGGACCTGTCCCAGTCTGGATAGACCTGTCCCAGTCTGGATGGACCTGTCCCAGTCTGGATGGACCTGTCACAGTCTGGATGGACCCGTCCCAGTCTGGATAGACTTGTCCCAGTCTGGATAGACCTGTCCCAGTCTGGATGGACCTGTCCCAGTCTGGATGGACCTGTCCCAGTCTGGATGGACCTGTCCCAGTCTGGATGGACCTGTCACAGTCTGGATGGACCCGTCCCAGTCTGGATAGACCTGTCCCAGTCTGGATGGACCTGTCCCAGTCTGGATGGACCTGTCCCAGTCTGGATGGACCTGTCCCAGTCTGGATGGACCTGTCACAGTCTGGATGGACCTGTCCCAGTCTGGATGGACCTGTCCCATTCTGGATGGACCTGTCCCAGTCTGGATGGACCCGTCCCAGTCTGGATGGACCTGTCCCAGTCTGGATGGACCTGTCCCAGTCTGGATGGACCCGTCCCAGTCTGGATGGACCCGTCCCAGTCTGGATGGACCCGCCCCAGTCTGGATGGACCCGTCCCAGTCTGGATGGACCTGTCCCAGTCTGGATAGACCTGTCCCAGTCTGGATAGACCTGTCCCAGTCTGGATGGACCTGTCCCAGTCTGGATGGACCTGTCCCATTCTGGATGGACCTGTCCCAGTCTGGATGGACCTGTCCCAGTCTGGATGGACCTGTCCCAGTCTGGATGGACCTGTGCCAGTCTGGATGGACCTGTCACAGTCTGGATGGACCTGTCCCATTCTGGATGGACCTGTCCCATTCTGGATGGACCCGTCCCAGTCTGGATGGACCCGTCCCAGTCTGGATGGACCCTTCCACAGACTGTGGGCCTCATGCTAACAACTACAGCTAATCCTGACCAAATGCAACTTCCATGACTGTAACTGCAGTTATACACCGCACTGTGTGTGCTGCACATGTGCGTGTGTGTGAATGCGTGTGTGAGTGCATGTGTCAATGCGTGTGTGAGTGCATGTGTGAATGCGTGTGTGAGTGCATGTGTGAATGCGTGTGTGTGTGCATGTGTGAATGCGTGTGTGTGTGCATGTGTGAATGCGTGTGTGTGTGCATGTGTGAATGCGTGTATGTGTGTGCATGTGTGAATGCGTGTGTGTGTGCATGTGTGAATGCGTGTGTGAGTGCATGTGTGAATGCGTGTGTGTGTGCATGTGTGAATGCGTGTGTGTGTGCATGTGTGAATGCGTGTGTGTGTGCATGTGTGAATGCGTGTGTGTGTGCATGTGTGAATGCGTGTGTGTGTGCATGTGTGAATGCGTGTATGTGTGTATGCTGTCCCTGCTGTGACCTCTGAGGTTGTGTGTCTGTATCTTGGACGCGATCACGGTATTTCAGCCTCATGAGTTTGTGGTAAATCTGACGTTCTGCTGCGATGGTGAAGAGCGGGCTTTGATGCTAACGAGTTTAAGCTAGCAGCTTTTTGAACACTTTGCTCTAAACTCTCACGACACATTTACATTTGTCTAAATCTGTTTCATGCAGAAGTTCTTAGTTAGAGAAGGTTTAGAATAGATTTAGATACTTTGGTCCCAGAGCAGGTGCTTCATGACACGCATGTGTGTGTCTGTGTGTGTGGGGGTGTGTGTGTGTGTGCGCCCGAGCATGTGTATGTGCATCTATGTGTGTGTGTTTGTGCATGCATGTGTGTGTCTGTCCATCTCCTGCCCAGCAGGGCAGGCTCGTGCTCAGCCTCCTGCTGCAGCTGGGCTCGCCTCACTGTCACACACACACACACACACACACACACACACGCACACACACACACACACACACACACACAGACACATACACGTTTTTGTTACCTGGTGGGTCCCTTTGACAGGGCCGTTCAGAATGGGACCCATAGACATAATCTTTTTTTACCAAGACTTTAAGTAATACAAAACAGTCAATAGAAACCAAACAACTATTTTAAAGGAATTTTATTTTAGATTTTGTTTTCGAATTGCAGTGATTCTATTTTTGACATAGAATTTAATGCCACTCCATGTCCGATGTCTAAGGTCATCTGGTGAGGCATTAATGCAGGCCAGGCAGTGAGACTTCCCAGGGACCTTTCCAGTCTGTATGAAAGGTGTCATGGTCTTCTCCACAGCCTTCACCTCAGATGCAGACCATGGCTTTCTTACACGTTCTAGGGAGAGAAATAAAAATATATTAGCAATATACACTCCCAGGGTGAGGACCAAGCAGCCTGGCTGTAATCCCCCACCTGGTACACTTACCAGAAGGGGCACTGCCACTACCATGGGGTGCATCTGGATGAATGGTTGAAGGTTCTCCGCTTGAAGTTTCTTTTAGCCCGTCCGTTTGTGAGAGGATCTCTACTGCTCTCCCTGTCGCACAGAAAATAAAAATACAAGTGGCCTTTAGGGGAAAAAAATCATACATATTTTAATAATATCAAGAATTACCTTCAGGCTCAATTTGTATCTGGTCGAGGCTCTTTCCTTCGAATTCCGTCACTCTTCCCTGCTCCATGGCCATCAACACTTTGCTGATTTTGGCCAGCTCCAGTGTCCCCTCTGGTAGTCTGTAATATTGCCTGTGGATGCGAATGTCATGGCCGAGGAAGTTGGCAAGTATGTCCATCTCATTCTCTTTCATATTGAGAACTGTAGACATAGTAGCTATGTGCTTTCTAAGTTTGGTTGAGGATAGCATCTCTGGATGCACCGCACCACATTCTTTGGCTACCTGGCGTAGGGAGTCTGATCCCCTGATGTGGGTGTCTGCGCCCGGGCGGGAAAAGAAGTATGGGTTATGGTCAGAGATGGAACAGGCCCTTCTGTTCTCCACCAGCACCTCCATCGAAGCAATCATTTCAGGAGTCAAAAGAACCGGCACTTTCCGACTTCTTTTCCCTTTAATTTCAATGCGTTGAAAATGCTGACACAGCTTTTTCTCAAGTTGGGACAGTCCCAGAGCAATGTCAGAATGGATCCCAGTCTTACTTCTTAAGGTAAAGGCTGTCAGTGGCATCTTTGAAACCTCACCTTCCCTTCTTCTTCGATTGAAAATGATGACCTCACAAAGAGTCAAAACTGCCAGTTTAGACCAATGCTTAGACGTTGGCTCACTTATTAGGGTTTGCACATATTCAGGTCGACATACCTCAATATGTGCATGCATGGCTCTAACGTCCTCAGTCAGAGGGAGCAGGTCCGGAGTGTTCCACTTGGCTTGCCGGAGGGTCTGTAGGGCAGCAGAAGAAACACAGACGTCCCACCTCTTCTCAAAAAGCAGCCGGCTTCGTTGGAGGTTTTTAATAAATAGTTCATCAACACAATGCTCCATTTTTGAGTCACATTCAAGAATATCTGCTAGCTTTCTGAGGCTATGGCCGAGTTTGAGGGCCAAGGATGGAGTCTTGTATTGATTTGTTTCCTCATCATATCCAGCCACAGACCTGACTGCATCAATCACATGGTTAAAGTTGGAAGGAATAAAGAAATCCTTAATTGTTTTCAGTTTCCCTGCGGTTTTTGCTTCGTTAATTAACCTACCGACTTCTCTCATTTTCTGCCTAATGTAATCATGCTTTGTCTTATCATGCCCGTGTTTTAAGTACAGGTGCTCTCCGAGTCTCAGAATCCCCTTTTCTGCTTTGACAACACCCGTGACCCTCATCCTATTGAAATTAAAGACCACAGCTTTTTGCTGATGCCCTCCGGTACAGGCTGGGCTAGGGAGCAGAGGGACTGGACCCTACTTCTACCTGGTTTAGCCTGGGCATCTTTCTGTGAAAGCCGGCACCTGGCCACATGCCTCCACAGCGACTTTCGCTTAAGCAATGCCCCACAGTCTATACAGTGCAAAAACTCACTGGATTTAACTGGGCAATTTGGCTGTTTAGCTGGGACTAAAGTTCCAATGCCGGCCTTTAAAACCTCAAAATTGTGCTCACGGTTTCCACTATTCCTGATCAAATCAAACTGAAGTTTACGTGCTTTAGATTTCACAGGTAGAGCCAATGCTCTGGCTACGTCACTTTCATTTCCATGTTTTCTAGACAAATGACGGGACATTTTGTGGCAGGACATTGAACAGTAGAGGCAGAAGTGTCTCTTGCTGTATACTCGCCCCCCATTTTTCTTCTTTTGCAGCTGCATGATAACAATCTTATTTGCCTTTGGTTCGTCAGTTTCCGAGTCTTGAAGAAAAGTGTTTTTGATTTTTCTTTTTCCATACTTTTTTACAGGTTTCTTCTTGACAGTTAAATCGTCAGAATCTGAGTCGACTTCATCAATTAGGGACTCTTGACTAAGCTGCACAAACAACAAATAATTTGTAATCATTCTATATAACAATTTGAAGTCATGACTTGTAGTCAGCACTTACCAGTGGTTTGTAAGCGTGCGCTTCAGTGTGCTCCTCCATGATTTCTTGCAGCCTAATGAACCACACACTTGCACCTTTTTCTAGCCTGACACCTGATTTCCTCTGTTGTGCTGCTCCATGATTGGCTCCAGCCTGCTGGACTGAAATTGCCCCAGTGTGCCCCTCCTTGATATCCCGCAACCCACCACCAGGGTTCCGACACATAACACACTTTTTTCAGGAAAGTAAACCTCCAGGGGTCCTTTCCATATTTTTACAGAGACTGCATAAGGACCGTTAGAAAAGCATTACCCATTGATTATTAAGCTTGGACCAGTGGGGTCCGGTGTTCGGGCCCCACCACGTAAAACCAGTCCCCATGACGTGAGCGGAATCTCAGGTTATGGAACCCACCAGGAGTTGAAAACAAGTGCACACACACACAGACACACACACACACACACACACATACACGTTTTTGCTACCTGGTGGGTCCCTTTGACAGGGCCGTTCAGAATGGGACCCATAGACATAATCTTTTTTTACTGGGACTACTTTAAGTAATACAAAACAGTCAATAGAAAACAAACAACTCTTTTAAAGGAATTTTATTTTAGATTTTTTTTTCGAATTGCAGTGATTCTATTTTTGACATAGAATTTAATGCCACTCCATGTCCGATGTCTAAGGTCATCTGGTGAGGCATTAATGCAGGCCAGGCAGTGAGACTTCCCAGGGACCTTTCCAGTCTGTATGAAAGGTGTCATGGTCTTCTCCACAGCCTTCACCTCAGATGCAGACCATGGCTTTCTCTAACGTTCTAGGGAGAGAAATAAAAATATATTAGCAATATACACTCCCAGGGTGAGGACCAAGCAGCCTGGCTGTAATCCCCCACCTGGTACACTTACCAGAAGGGGCACTGCCACTACCATGGGGTGTATCTGGATGAATGGTTGAAGGTTCTCCGCTTGAAGTTTCTTTTAGCCCGTCCGTTTGTGAGAGGATCTCTACTGCTCTCCCTGTCGCACAGAAAATAAAAATACAAGTGGCCTTTAGGGGAAAAAAATCATACATATTTTAATAATATCAAGAATTACCTTCAGGCTCAATTTGTATCTGGTCGAGGCTCTTTCCTTTGAATTCCGTCACTCTTCCCTGCTCCATGGCCATCAACACTTTGCTGATTTTGGCCAGCTCCAGTGTCCCCTCTGGTAGTCTGTAATATTGCCTGTGGATGCGAATGTCATGGCCGAGGAAGTTGGCAAGTATGTCCATCTCATTCTCTTTCATATTGAGAACTGTAGACATAGTAGCTATGTGCTTTCTAAGTTTGGTTGAGGATAGCATCTCTGGATGCACCGCACCACATTCTTTGGCTACCTGCCGTAGGGAGTCTGATCCCCTGATGTGGGTGTCTGCGCCCGGGCGGGAAAAGAAGTATGGGTTATGGTCAGAGATGGAACAGGCCCTTCTGTTCTCCACCAGCACCTCCATCGAAGCAATCATTTCAGG